GCCACCCTGACGCTGCAGGAGCGGCGGGACCGCGGTGCCGACAAGGAGCACAAGCGCTACCACAGCCTGGGCAACATCAGCCGCGGGGGCGGGGACAAGCCCAGCGGCCCCGCCCCGCGCAGCCGGCTGGACCCCGCCAAGGTGCTGGGCACGGCGCTGTGCCCGCGCATCCACGAGGTGCCCCTGCTGGAGCCGTTGGTGTGCAAGAAGATCGCGCAGGAGCGCCTGACGGTGCTGCTCTTCCTGGAGGACTGCATCGTCACCGCCTGCCAGGAGGGCCTCATCTGCACCTGGGCCCGGCCCGGCAAGGCGGTGAGTGCCCGCAGCACCCGAGGGGCCACTCGAGAGCCTTGTCTGGGGCAGCCAGTGGGTGCCAGGCAGGAGGACGGCCCAGCATGGCCAGGTCTCCCCTCCGGACTCTCAGAGCAGGCCAGGCCAAGCACATGTGTGGGCCCACCTGCCAGCCCAGGCCTAGGGGCCTAGGGGTCCAGCTGGTACTTCTGCTCACAACCAGACACCGGTGGACCCCACTCCAGCCTCTCTGCCATCAGCTGTCCCCTAGCAGAGACCCTTTACGATGGGCCATGGGTGGCTGTGGGGCACAGAGAGGACTGGGGGGGTTCAGGACCTGCTGCCAGGTGGGCAGTTCTCGGATTCCCTGCCGTGCCCCTGGAAGGGCAGATCCGGAGTCTCAGAGGCCTGGATCCTGAGAAGGCCAGGGCAGCCTCAGAGCCAGGAGGCCCGGCCGCTGGGATCGAGGGCAGTTGGTGAGGCCTGAAGGAGACCCTCTGTCGCCCTAGTTCCCAGACGAGACCGAGGCCCAGACAGGGGAAGGCAGTTGGCCCAGGTCACCCAGCAAGTCAGTGGTAGAGGTAGGACTGCCCTTTCCAGACTCTTTCCCAAGTCAGACAGGGCCCTCGACTGCTCCTCTCCTTCCTCCCTTCCCAGCCTGCCCCCTCTGCTTGGGCCAGTGGTGAGCAAGGAGGCGAGATGAGAAGGCTGCCCAAGCCTAGAGCAGGGGCCTCAGTCCAGAATGGGGTGGGCTGTGGGGTCAGGCCAGCGTGGACCCTCCCCAGGGCCTGGCCTAGTTTGATATTCTTTAACCCTTCCTGTCTCCCCCCTCCTCTTCCCCAGGGCATCTCTTCCCAGCCTGGCAATTCCCCAAGGGGGACAGTGGTGTGAGCAGTGGTCAACCCTGCACCCCTCATCCACTTGGCTATAGTGACCACCCTGCTGACCTTGCCGATCAACGTATTAACAAGACTAACCGTGATGGATGGATTGCTTCACCACCCTTCGCCCACCCTGCACAAATTTTGGGGGCAAAGGGTCCCCCAGACTGGCCCAGACATGGGGTGGTGTAGCAGCCCATGTGGCCTCAGCCTCATCCCCACCCACTGCCAAGTATGGTGACCCCTTCCTCCGAGACATCAGTGTTACCCACGTTCCTGTCCCCAGCATGTGACTGGTCACCCACAAGAGTGCCAGCTCTCTGCCAGGTGCCACTGCGTCCAGCGGGCAGGACCAGGGGGTGGCTGCCCCTTCCCCAGCCCCCACCTGCCCTTGGTGTTGTCTGTACACTTTCCAGAGAGTGTTAAATTATGGTCGCCCCTCAGGGCCTCCCTGCCCCCCAGGACCTCTTATTTATACTAAAATTCTCATTTTTAGAGTTCCAGGCCCAGCCTGTCTGTCCCCTTTTGGGGAAATCTGGGAGGGGAGAGCCCACTTGAGGTGTGTGTGTGTGTGTGTTTCCACCTGAACCAAAGGTTGAGCCCAGGGTTTGCCATCCCATGTCCTGCCCCCAAGGCCTGGAAGTGAAGTCTGCTGGGGGCACAAGCTGGCCCACCCTGAGCAAAGCTCCTTCCTCCAGCCAGTGGGTAGCCAGGAACCCTTCTCCAAACCCTCTTGGGAGGGTTTCCAAAGGGTCTGAACTGTCTAGATAGGGGCCTGGGAGTTCCCACAAGCAGCTCTGGGGAGACCCTGGACTACGGGTCTTGGTGGCCCAGAGGACCTGGCTTGGGGCTGAGTACCCCTCTCCAGAACCATCTGCCCCAGGGGGAGAACAACTCCAATCAAATGCCCTGGCCAACCGGTCACAGGGCGTGGTAGCTTCCCACCCCGCCCGTCACCCCCCCTGCCCCCCCGAATTGTTTTCTGTTTCTAATCCCAGCCCTGGCAGGAATGTGGCTGCCCGGCCAGGCTCCAAGGAGCTATTCTGGGGTCTCCTTTGCCTGGGGTGGGGTGCCTGTCTCCCAGACTTTTACCCAGGGGTCACACCTGGTCCTGCTCCTAGGGGCCACCCCCTCCAAGTTTCTCCACCACCCCTTCCCAGCTTCCCTCTCAAAAAAAGTTAGTGTAAAACCAAGGGCCTGAGTGCTAAATTTAACTGTCCTGAAGTTGGAATCCATGGCTGAGTCACCCGAGAAGCTGCCCTGGCCTCTGGGGGGGCCCCCCTTCCTGGGGCCTCAACCTTTCTCTCCCCCCCCCACCCCCACTACCCCAGCTGGAGGGTGGGCAGGATCATAACAGTTCCTCTGGGGGATTCTAGAGCTGGGTCGCAGCCACACCTGCAGTTTTTCTTGCCTCAAGACAAGATTTTATTGGGGGTGGAGTTTGAGAATTAAAATTCTACACATACACACACTCATCTAACACGGAGGAGCTCAGAGAGGCTGGAAGGAGTGGGGGTGTTGGCTGCTGAGGGGTTAAGGCCAGGAGGCGGGAGGGGGGCTGGACCGAGGGGTGGGGAGAAGAGGAGGAGGCTTCAGCAGAGAAGTGGTCAGAGAGGCCCAGGGGACAGCCAGGGACAGACAGCCATGCGGCTGGGGCCCCGGGGCCTGGACAGGGGCTGCTGGGCCCCGTGACAGGCAAGAGGTGAGCCCCCGGCCCGGGGCGGGGCCATGGTGCTCGCTGGCAGACATGGCAGCCGAGGTGCGGCTGAAGCAGCTCCAGCGACTGGCGCTGGACCCTGGCTTCCTGGGGCTGGAGGCCCTGCTGGACCTTCTCCTGAGCGTCCACCAGGAGCTGGAGACCTCCGACCTGGCCCAGGACAAGTACGTGGCCGATTTCCTACAGTGGGGTGAGTGCCTGCAAGGACTGCCCCCCCCTCACAGCACCCCCTGCTAAGGCAGAAGCCAAGGGGCTAGGGCAGAGGCAGAAGGTGGGTCCAAGCCAAGGGCCCTGGGTTTTTTTTGGTGGAGGGGGGATTCAATAGATATGGGGAGGCCCATCCATTCACGGGCCCAGGATTTGAACCTGGATCCTGGGGTGACATGTCCGTCAGCCACCCTGGATGGGCAGAGGGGTCAGCAGAGGCTAGGGCACCGTTGTGACTCAGGCTGGACTGGTCATAGTCTCCCATAGTCCTCTGCCCCCCCTCCCCTAAAGCTAGGCCTAGAGACAGGTTGGCAGCCCCATCTCCTGAGACCCTCCCCCAAATGGGCCCTCCGGACCTCTTACCCTGGCTCTCCTGAGAACAGAGCAGGCACTGAGGGGAGATAAGCCGTGGGACAGCTGCCAGGGGAGAGGTCAGCAGGCAGGTGTTCGGCGCCAGTCTCCAGCTGCTCCAACAGGTGCCTAGGCTCAGGAAGGGGTCAGTGACTCAGGCCCTTGGGGAGAACTAACTGCAGACAGGCGCCACCCAGCACCCCCTCTATCCCTGAGTCAGGCAGGCCCCAGGAACATCTCTGAGTGGGTCCTCACTTTGTAGGTTCGATACCCTCACCATGGGCTGGTCCTACGTAGCTTGCAGCGGCCAGCAATGGCTTCCTGGGCCCTCTAACCCTGCTGGCTCAGGACCCCAACCTTCTCATTGTCCCCTTGGCCCTCTCATAAGGTCCTTACAGGCAGGTCAGCAGGCCTGGGGGGTCACGAGGAAGAAACGCATCTCAGTCTCTGCCTTGCTGCTCGCTTTCCCTCACACACCGCCCCCACCCCCCAGCCCCAACTGCCAACCTAGGACTCTGGTTTCTGTCTGTCTGACACCTGCCACTCCTCTGTCCCTCTACTCGCCTGCCCCTTGGGGGTTTGCACTAGGCCTTGGTTTCTGTGTCACTGTCTGACCGCTTCCTGACACCCGCCCTCCCCAGCTCCCTCCACACCACAGTCCAGCGCTCTGGGTCCCAGGCCTGGGTCTCAGGTGGGACAGTGGCCAGCAGGCAGACCATTCAGCCTCTGCAAAAACCTCCCCCCTGCCACCACCAAGTCCTTAGTAACTCCCCCCACCCTCTTTCTGCAAAGGCTGCACCACGCCTGGCTGGGTAAACTGAGGCCTGGTGGGGGGCAGGGGGTCTGATTCTTATGGTAGGAACACTCCTTTTGTGGCCTGAGCCTGCGGCGGGCGGCCCCTCCCTCGAGGCGCCTGGCGGCGGAGGGGGCCTGGGTTCCCCCGCTGCCTTAAAAGGGCTCAATGTGTTGGCGCGCTCCGCTCTCCTCCCTAGCCAGCCAGCCTGGGGCCCTGCCGGCTTCTCCCTCCTGGCCCTGCTCCCCCAGAAGCGCAAGCCCCTCGCTGTAGCCACTTTTCTGCAGTCTGAGCCTGTTGCCCGCCAGAGCCCACCCTGTCTCCTCCCAGGCCTTCCCTACTCATCCACCTCGCCTTCCTCCTCAGAGCACTGGCCTGCCTTCCTCTCCCCGCACCCACACCCCGCCCCTACTGACAGCTTAACACTTCAAGCCGTGGGACCCAGGGCCAGTAAGGCCTGCCTGTGAACAACGGGTAGGGGCAGGATCTGGACGGGTGCCCACCCCAGTCCCCCGCTGGCACGATCCCTCGCACCACCCCTTTCCTGGGCCATGGGCTTAGAGATCCCCAGGGGAAAAGGGGCCGTGCCTGGGCCAGCACCCAAGGCAAAAGTCCTGGCGCGGTAGGCTCCAGGAGCCGGCCTTGTTCAATGTCTCCCTCGAGTTTGGGGGTAGGGTGCTGCAGCAGGCTTGTTTGGGGCCTCCCCTTCTGCAGGTGTCTGCTAACCTGGCCCCTAAAAGACTTCTCAGGCTTGGGGTGCCTCTGTGGCTACATGTGGGAGACGGTATCCATGGGGAAATGAGACAGCGAGCGAGGTTAACTCAGAGGCAGCAGTGGGGCAGGGAGTAGGGGGTACCCACGAGGGGCAGAGGGTGGGGCTCCCCTCCGTCTCCCCAGTGACCCGCAGTTCTTGGCCCTCCTCAGCGGAGCCCATCACGGCGAGGCTTAAGGCAGTTCGACTGCAGAGGGATGACTTCGAGATTCTGAAGGTTATCGGACGCGGGGCGTTCAGCGAGGTGAGGCGCGAGCTCGGCGAGGCCGGAGCCTCGGTTGGCTCGGCGGTGGGCGGGGCCGCAGAAAATGTTGAATGGCACGCCGCGGGAACCGCCCCCCGCCGAGATTGGGGGCGGGGCTTGCGGCGAGTGGGCGGGTCCCCAGCAGGGCGGGGATGGGGTGGAGTGCGGCCCAGGCCAGACGCTGGGCTGCCACCGCCACCTCCGCCCGCGCCGCCGCCCCGTCTCGGCCTTCAGGTAGCGGTGGTGAAGATGCGGCAGTCGGGCCAGGTGTACGCCATGAAGATCATGAATAAGTGGGACATGCTGAAGAGAGGAGAGGTGAGCGCCGGGGCCGGGGGCCGGGGGCCGGGAGGACGTAGCCTCCTGCCGGCCGTCCCCCGCTCCAGCTGCACCTGGTGGCCCGTAGGTGTCGTGTTTTCGCGAGGAGAGGGACGTGCTGGTGAACGGGGACCGGCGCTGGATCACGCAGCTCCACTTTGCCTTCCAGGATGAGAACTACCTGGTGAATGAAGGCCGGGGATGCCTTCAGGGAGCCTCTGAGGTCTCACAAGGACCTTTCTTACCTGGGCGGGGAACTCCGCAAGGGTGTCTCCTTTGGGGGTGCCCTCTCCTGGGAGTGAGAGAGCTCTCCAGGGTCTCTGTGGGGTCACTGGGCAAAGGGTACAAGGGACCTAGACTCTGGGAGTGGGCGGATTCCAGAACAGGCCCCCCCCCCCCACGCAATACCTGTGTTAAACCTGGGGAGAACTTTCTTGTTCCGGGACAGAGTGGGGGACTCTCTGATTTGGTCTGGGATCTTGGGGGCTCCCTAGGGGTTGGGGCTGTGTGTTCTCTGCCTCTGCCGGCGGACAGGTCTTTGTCCCAGGGTCCCAGGTGATCTGCCAGCAGTCCAGACGGGCAGCTGACCCCCGCCTGCGACACGCCCCCTCGCAGTACCTGGTCATGGAATACTACGTGGGCGGGGACCTGCTAACACTGCTGAGCAAGTTTGGGGAGCGGATTCCGGCCGAGATGGCGCGCTTCTACCTGGCCGAGATTGTAATGGCCATAGACTCAGTGCACCGGCTGGGCTACGTGCACAGGTGGGCGAGGCAGAAGGCGGAGGGACCTTAGGGACCGGGCCTGGCGAAAGGCCGCTCAGATGGGGGCTCAGGAGGGCAGGGTTTTAAAGCCTGAGTGGGCCCGTGGGCCCCCAAAGTGATGGCAAAGCTTGGGCATTGCGTTCTAGCGGGACTGAGGTCTGGGAAGCACTCCTCTGTCTGGGGTACCCTGGGTGCCGGCCTGCGGAGTGCAGCCCCTCAGGCGCCGCCTGGGGGCGTGGTCTCGAGAGAGGGGTCCTGGAGCGGACAGCTCCTTGAAGGGGCTACCTAAAGGGGCGGGCCTGGCTAGCGTGGGAAGCGCCCTTACCTTCCCTCGTCTCTCGTTGCCCCAGAGACATCAAGCCGGACAACATCCTTCTGGATCGCTGCGGCCACATCCGCTTGGCCGACTTTGGCTCTTGCCTCAAGCTGCAGGAGGACGGAACGGTGAGCCGGTGCGCCCACTGCGGGGCAACGCGGGGTACCTCCAGCGTGGAGGCGGGGCGGGAACGTGAAGGGGCAGGGCTTATAGTGTGGGGGGGTGCGGTCAACTTGGGGCCAGACCCGGAATCCGTAACAGAACTGGGAGGAAGAGGGCGGTGACCCAGCCTAAGTAAGTTTGCCTGTGGGACCAGATCAGACCACAACAGAGTAGGGAAGAGTTCAGGGGCAGGGCCTGACCTCAGCTTTGGTCCTGTGGCACAGGTACGCTCACTGGTGGCCGTGGGCACCCCGGACTACCTGTCCCCGGAGATCCTGCAGGCTGTGGGCGGCGGGCCCGGGTCTGGCAGCTACGGGCCCGAGTGTGACTGGTGGGCGTTGGGAGTGTTCGCCTACGAAATGTTCTATGGACAGACCCCCTTCTACGCCGACTCCACGGCGGAGACCTACGGCAAGATAGTCCATTATAAGGTGAGCGCCTGCCCTCTCCGGATAGGTCCCTGCATATGACCCTGGGGCTAACAGCTCTCCGCGCCCCTTCCCCGCAGGAGCACCTGTCCCTGCCCCTGGCTGACTCCGGGGTCCCTGAGGAGGCTCGAGATCTCATTGAGAGGCTGCTGTGTCCCCGGGAGACACGGCTGGGCCGGCGTGGAGCGGGTGACTTCCGGGAACATCCTTTCTTTCTTGGCCTTGACTGGGACGTGCTCCGTGACACCGCACCCCCGTTTACCCCCGACTTTGAGGGCGCTACGGACACGTGCAACTTCGATGTGGTGGAGGACGGGCTCACTGCCATGGTGAGCGGGGGCGGGGTAGGTACTTTTCCCTATTCCTCCTCCCCTTGACTGGGCTGAAGAGGGGATTGCCTGGGGCTGTGGATCCTGCCCGTGGTGAACCAGATCCAGTGTTCCTAGTCAGTGACCCATCCCGAGGTCAAGGGTAGAACTGGGGAGACCCAGAACAGACCAGGAAAGGCTGGGGGTGGGGGGGCGGGGATACGAAGGGAAAGCCCAGAACGAAATCCCTCTCCCTGATGCACCTCTCTGGTCAGGTTGAGCAAGCTATGCTAGAGTATGTGCTTGTGTTGGGGCACCCATCTGCCCTGTGGCGTGTCCCTCCCCACTGGTCCCTGTCCTGGTCCACAGAGCACAAACTCAGCATCTGGGGCAGGTGGCCTGAGGAAAGCAGGAAGATTCAAGAAACCATGGGGGAAGGGGCCGTCATTCCAGCCTAGACCCAACTGGGTGGAGGCCAGCCCTGACCACAGCGGGTTGATGAGTCTGCCCTTGTTTTGTGCAGGAGACGCTGTCAGACATGCGGGAGGGCGCTCTGCTGGGGGTACAGCTGCCTTTTGTGGGCTACTCCTACTCCTGCATGGCCCTCAGGTAAGGGCCAGCCCTGCTGCCTCCTGAGAACGGGTGGGACCAGGGTGCCAGCTCTGGAGGTCCCTGGCTATCCCCGTAGTGTTCTCCCAGCTATGATTGACAGTGGGCTCGAACTGCCGGGCCCCGCAGGTTAGCAGGAGAGTGCTCAACCACTGCGCCACTAGGTAGAACTGTGGGGACCTTAGAGTCTGGGCTCATGCTTAGAGAAAGGCCAGAGCTGTAAAGAACTTATAATTCTACAGCCAATGTAGAAACTTTCCAAGCTACAGTCGCAACCTTTCGTGTCCTTCCAACCTGTGACTTTGAGCTTTGTTGTCCACGGGGCCAGAGGGCCCTGAGGCATGGAAGTATGTCTCTTCCTTACTGTCCATGGTGACAGCTCACACATGCATCCAGCCACTCGCCGGGCCACAGTGTCCCAAAAGACAGTCACTACACAAATAGTAGGTTCCCAGCCACCGAAAAGAGAATTCAAAAACAGAAGCAATAAAAGAGTGGACGCAGCTTCAGACCAGGAAACGACAAGGCTGCTTTTGATCCTGGAAGGCGGAGCAGAACTGCCCTGCAGAGTGTCCTGTTCCACTCCCCATCCCCTAGGCTACCTACCTTTATGGAACCCTTGGGCCACATCCTCCTCCAGGAGAGCGACCTGTGGGTTCGAAACTCCACCCATTTTGGTTTGTGCCTGAGCATTTTAACCACTGTGCCACCAGACCAGAAATAGGGAGCGCATGAAGGGACAGAGATGTGAGGAGGAAGGCCCTTCTGGTGAGGGCAGATGATGGCAGGGATGGCACGGAAACACCAGCAACTGATTCCAAGGGTCACTTCTCAAAACCCTGTCCTATGAGGCTCGTCGAAAAATGGCTCCAAGAGATAGCAAGATGTCGACACAAACTTGTTGAAGGTTCTTGGTCTAGCTGAATGTGGTCAACAACTTATTGGTTGCTTATTCAGCAAAAAAAAAAAAAAGCAACCCACCATTTAGCAAGGATCCCTGGTATGCAGACACACACACCTACCCAGAACTTGTTCTCTAATTTGCTTCTGCTATTGGTCAGCATGCTGCCAATTCCACGCTGCCTGATTGGATGGATGTTGGTCCTCGGGAGATGCACTTTTGAAAAGAAATACACGTGCAATGTTTTATTGTGGTTTCGGTGAAGGCACAGCAGTTGAGGCTCCTTACCCAAGTTGGGTCACTGACAGGAGCCGAATTCTTCACCACGATGGGTCTCCTGATTCCTCTTCTGGTTGTTCTGTGTCCTTCATCTAGTCTCCCTGGCCCCTTACCTTCTCATCTAACTTGGAAAGCAATCGTGGACAGCATGGCCCCTAGAGGTGACGGGTTTTAGAGGATCACAGCACTTCCAGGTGGCCCTCATGACTTTCAGTCCATTGTTATGGACCTGGGGTGGGAAGACCCCACCCCCATCCCTGCAGCAGCTGAGGACTACCTCACCTTTCTCCTACTGAGCAGTGGGTGGGTTTGAACTGCCAATGCAGTGTTTAAACTCTGCACCACCAGGGCTTCAAGCCAGAGCTCTCACCGCCATCGAGTCAATACTGACTCAGAGCAAGTGTGTAGGACAGGGCGGCAATGTCCCTGTGAGTTTCCAAGAGTGTAACAGGGAGCAGCTGGTGATTTTGAACTGCCAACCTTGAGGATTGCAGCCCGAAGTAGGTCCAAACCTCTCACTGTCCTGAGGGCCTCAGGAGCGGGGCTGACAATGGTCATACAACAAAGGAGGAGATGCGGTGCCTGCCGAAAGTGCAGAGGGTAGCCCCAGTAGCCATGTGAGGGGCCGATGGTTCCCTAAGAGAAGGGCCTATCACTCCACCCTGGCGATCTGTTCCACTTACTCTGCCCCTTCCCCTGCTGAAGCCACAGGGCCAGGCTCTATGCAGGGGGCTTCTAGTTCTAACCAGAGTGGGTGGGTGGCCTTGAAGGTGGGGCTGGCCTTCCCTTCCTTTTTCCCTTACCCCAGGGACAAAGAGGGCCCGGGCCCCACACCCATGGAACTGGAGGCTGAGCCATTGCCTGAGCCACCCGAGCAAGCCCTCGGCCTGGAGCCAGTGCCTGCAGTTCTCCCACCAGAATCCGCAGTAAGTAGGGTGGGGGGCACACCTGAGGGACAGTGTGAGGGCTCCCACAAGCTCTGGCAGTCAAGGGTCAGACAGGGCAAAAAGTAGAGGCAGTACTACTTCAGGCGGAGATGTTCGCTGGGAAGAAATGGAACCGGTCAAGAGGACAGCGTTCACTGGAGTGGGCTCCCTGGGTGGGGTGGGCTGTCTGAGCTGAAACCCCTGAGAAGGATCAGCCAAGTAGGAGGTGGGAAGTGGTGACTTCAAGAGACAGAGTAGAATTGCCACAGTTGAGTTTTTTTCAGCTGTAATCTTTTCTCCTCGAGTGGAGTCACTGCCAGGGGGTCAGTTCGAAGTGCCCACCTCTCTGTTAGCAGCTGTTCAATTCACCACTGACGGGTGGGTCCTTGTGACTGCGGTCAAAATGACTCAGGCTCTTCATAGGACTTCCTCTAGGGTTTCCACGCTGCGATCTTTACGAAAGCCGACCGCCACGTCTTGTTTCCTTAGGAGTGGGTGGTGGGGTTAAACCTCTGACCTTTCTGTTATCAGCCAAGCCCCCAACCACTGGGCCACCCAACAGAGCTCTGGAGAACAGAGCAAAGCTACTTCCAGGGAGTCAATGCCGACTCTCAGTACCCCTAGTTGATCAGGTTTCCCAGGCAGAGCAGGCATCTGGTGGGCTCTGAACCGCTGACCTTCTGGGTAGCAGTCCAACACTTACCCAACGTGGCCCCCCAGGGATCCCTGCAGAGGAAGTTGGGGAGGCCCAACTGGGCGATGAGACAGGAGGGAAGGCTGGCCCAGCCAGCAAGCAGATCTTCTCTGGGGCCCTGAAGAGGTTCTGAGCCCAGGAGGACCAGGGCCAGGCTGAGGGGGTATTTGAGACATAGCTCTTAGTGATTGGGGTGCAGGTGAGGGAACCAGATTCACTGCTGGAGACCAGGCAGGGGGCTAGAGGTGTCTGGATTCAAAGAAACCTGGGGGGTGGGAGTGGAGGAGTGCCGTGAACTCGGCCTGAAATCCATGTTCAAACCTCCCTGAGCCCTGTTCTCCCCACCCACCGCCCCCACCTGCAGGCAGAAGCAGCGGCCCTGACCAAGGCGGCTGAGGTGACGCTTCGGGAGCTCCAGGAGGCCCTGGAGGAGCAGGCGCTCTCCCGGCAGAGCCTGAGTCAGGAGCTGGAGGCCATCCGCGCGGCCAACCAGAGCTTCGCCAGGTCAGAGCCGGGGCGCGGGCGCGGGCCGGAGTCCGTGGCAACTCTCTGCAGTGCCTCCAGACCCGATCTCCGACCCTTACCCACCCCACCCCCCACAGTCAGCTCCAAGAGGCCGAGGCTCGGAACCGAGACCTGGAGGCACATGTCCGGCAGCTGGAGGAGCGGATGGAGGAG